GTGCGGCGCCATATTTTACGCACAAGCCGGCATATAAAAATGAACTTTGCGTCAAAGTTTGCGTAAATGCACGCACACTCTTTCGCTGGCGTGAAACTGTGCGGCAGCCATGCAAACTTTTTCTGCGGACCATATCAAACTACAAAGCGTCAAAACCCCTAAATACACTAAAATCTGATTACATTCATCGTTATTAGACCAAGAAGCATCGATACGATGTTTTAGGGATTTTTTTATGAATGAAACTGAACCGCATTATCCTCAGAAATAACCTAACACAGAAAATAAGAAAGCAAATAAAACGGATGTGAAAACTCATAGGATGTAAAAAATATATTTCCTCAGTTTTTGTCTCATAAAGATGTAACAGTGTTTCTGTCCAAAATGCATCCATGGGGTAATTTCATTCTCACTAAAAAATAAAAAAATGTTTGGATCATCAGATAAAGTCCAAACAGGTTTGATTATATATCTATTATTATCTGTGTAGATAATCATCAGGTTTAATTATCTACTTGTTTGTAGATAATCACACATGTTTAAGTACCTGCATAAAGGTGAGCCTCTAACTGTGGAGCACCTTGGCTCTGATGGAGCGCATCGCCAATGGAAGAATTCAAAGGGGCCGATTGATCATATTGATCTGCTGGGATATGTTGATCTAGAGCAGGGGTGCTCAAATCCAGTCCTCGCGAGCTACCGTCCTGCAACTTTTAGATGCAGCCTTACTCCAGCAGACCGAGATCAGCTCTGAACAGGTCTGGTAATGAGCAATGGCTCATTACCAGGTGTGTTGGAGCAGGGATGGATCTCATAGTTGCAGGATGGTAGCTCTCAAGGACTGGACTTGAGCGCCCCTGATCTAGAGTTTAGATTAATCCAGACTGATTATCCTGGAGCTCTGAGCAGAACTTATGGAAGTCCAGTCCAGCTGCAATCATCCTTCAGTGGAGCCGCCAACTTTGTGAATGCGCCTTTCTGGACAGAAAGCATCTCTACTCTTTAAATGTACAACTTATGCACATGATTCCACTATTTTTAATAAACGTCCATTTTACCCACTCAAATGACTCTCTGTCTGTCTTTCAATACCTGGCTGAATGCTCTGCTGTTCAAACAGGCATTTGCACAATCTCTTTATTTTCTGTTTATTATTATTATTTGTATTTTTTTCCTTTATTTAAAATGTATTATTCTTACTTTTTTTTTTTTTTGAGGTTATGTTATGTTCCCTGAAAGCACCTTTTAAATATATATCATTACAATTATTATACTGCTACAAACATTTTACGTTGCCATGGTTCTTGCTTCTCGTGGTGGCAGACTTCCAGGTATTTATACTAATTTACATATGTATTTATGGAGGCGACAAGTTCTTCTTGAGAACAGAACAAAATCTTACCTCTGAACTGAACGCAGTTTGACTTGATTTAAATCCCTCAGAACGTCCAGCATCGAAGGAATCAGTTTGTTTTCCATGTTTTTGCTGAACCCTGATTGCTGGGCCTGAAGCTGACCCTTATCAGAGTTGTTGTTCCTGCGCTTTTTGATCAGATCCATCACAGATGATTTCTCGCTGAAGGCGCTTTGGGAAGAAGGAGGCAATGGAGGAGGTGGAGGAGGAGGGGGAGGTGCATGAAGAGGTGTGGAGGTGAGAGTCGGGAGTGGAGCAGGGGACATCAGAGGTGAAAACGGAGCATTCTGGGTGTCAGTCAGAGCTGAAAAGTAAGGAAAGGATCATTAAGATCATTATTTTTAGAGTGTTTGGTTTGCAGAAAAATCTCAAATGTACCTGAGGTTGGAGCTGCAGTAACAATCATGGCGATCTGAGCCCGAAGCTTGAGCAGTTCACTCTCCAGCTGGGTGATCTTCTGCAAGGCTTCAGGATCAGCCCTCTGTCGCACACAGCCTTCTCCTCTTCTCTCAGCTTGATTCTGAGCCAACCTGGGAAATCTCATCAAGTCTTGACTAAAAATGCCATCTTTCTTTGGAGGTAAATGGTTCCTTAAAAATCACACACAATAATATCAGTAGTGCATTTCCTTTTAATCCTGCTATTAAAATATGTTAGCGGGTATACATTGTGTATACATTGTGCAAACATGTGTTCACTTTTTATAAAGCTTTAATTATAATTCAGAACTGTTAAACTTAATAAGCAGAGCACTGTTAGTCTTTCCTTTGTGAAATATTTAACAAACCTTGTAAGATTATAGCAGACAATTGAAACATAATTTGAAACTTTTGACAACTTCCGTTATAAAAGACACATATCCTGAATAATTCATCTGTAAAAAACAAATCTCTCACACGAGAATGGAAAAAAAAAATGCAAAAGCTGATGCAACCTCGCTGCATAAGTCTGCAGACCCTCTGTTTTTATTTTTACTGGTGTTTTGAATTGTGTAGAAAAATCTAGGAAGCATCCTATATCGGAATCTACATCACTTTCTACTGATGTTGCTCATGTTTTAGGTCATTGTATTGGTCTGATAAGAAATACTAGCTCAACATTAAAGGCCGATGTTTATTTACAATATGTTGCACTGGACCCCGTGTTTTTCAGAAGGGAATAGGGTTAATGATGTAGTACTTGTTCAGTCACGAGACATTGATAGTTATGCAGTGCATGGTTATAAGGATGTTCAAAGCAGAAAAGCAACGTAGGCAAACTGGTTGCTTTTACACAGTATTGAAAGTGTGGAAAGATATACGTATAACATCAGTTATTGGCCATAACTACAATATTAATAATGAACATTCACCCAAATTTTCAATCGATGCATCCTTACAAAATTTATAATTATCTACCATTTATCATAAATAATTCAAAATATTAATGAGCTTTCAAAGTTAGATTTATAACCAACTGCAATCATAGAAATGACTGAACTCTGCAGTTCATAAAATTAAGTACATATTGTTTTGCTCTTTTTAGTTTAACTTTTTTTTTACCGACTATCACTAAATAAGTTTCTAGTTTAATTTGTGTTTTCCTAATATAAAAACAAAAGGAAAAAACAATTATAGAAAAAAGAAAAGAAAAAAAAAAAGCATTTTGTCTTCTGATGCATTGTCATTCATTCTGTACCTGGTTCTGGCAAAGCTCTCCCCCTCATAGTCAAACACCCACATGACATCTGCAAATGTTGGTATGGCAGGTGCATCAGCTTCTACCTCAATGTATCCATGGGGCTTATAGGTAACCAACGGGATCTGAGATAAAAATAAATAAAAAAAAGTCACATAGCTAAGATTCTGAGAGGAATTAATTATCATATTATATGTTTTTATCCAACTCTAAATATTTTAAGTGATTTTTTTTTTTTGTCAGTAAATGTCAGAGAAATGGTAGGAATCTACATAACTTGAATACATAAGATTACAGAAAACCTTTCTTGTGACCAAAAGGATTCTTAATTAATTAAAACAGAAACCCTAATTGCACATTAGGAAAAGTAATTACTGGATCAATTAAGAAAAGCTACTATGAAAAACAGAGATTGTGCAACTATCTCGAGATAAACACCACTTTATGTTCTAATTACCTGAAAATGAACACGTGGAGTGGGCTTCAGTGGGAGATTCGTGCCGATCATTCGTACAATGCTGCGATACTGACCGCACAGCTGAGTGTCCCACACAGGAACAAGCTGCAGTCAGGATGAAAAATAAGTAAGAAACAAGTTAAATGTGACACAGCGGTGAGAAGAGAGATTACAAATGTTGCATTTATTGAGCTGCAACAGGACTGCAACGTCAGCAGGCTTACCATTTCTGGAGGTACACCAAAATAGTCCAGGACCATCCGCAGCACATAAAGAATATCCTCTACTAAAGACATGGCAAGGACTTTTTCCTGCAGCAGCTGATGACTGCAAAGCTTCTGTTTCTGCTGACGGATAAATGGTGAGGGCAACCACAAAGAGAAGTCACCTGAAATGACCACATAACACACCCGACCAAGTCTTGATGGCATCAAATTCCAGAACGCAAAGACAGACATTTTAATGCAGAATAAGCTCATGTTCTTACAAAATAGATCTATCCAAATCATTCAAACAAATTCAATCAGTGCATGGTCTATTTAAAAGGTTAAAAACTTGTATACCATATATTAGCACACATTTATAGGGGCATGAAAAAAACAAAACAAAACAATCCAACACAAAATCTTCATAAAATTATTTGGAGAGGTTTAAAAAACAATAATAATAATGTGAACGGGTAACTGCATAAATTCAGAAAGAATGTCAAGCTTCAATGCTTTTATGCTGATTGATGTGTGTGTAATCAGTATTATGCAGGAAGGACAGGACTCTCTTCAATAACGACAAAATATTAAAACAGAACGTGAGAGACAACGAAGCAGATATAAAACTGGACAGAAGGCAAATATTCCATCTGCAACGTTGCTGAGCTGGTAATGCAAACCCTTTTAAGCTGGTGCCATTTTAACCCAAAACATGGTCACAACACATGGTCAAAACATGGTCACAACCAACATAATTTTAATAGCATACGGTCAGGAAATCTTTCAGATCTTTAATCATCCTCTTTTAAATTAGTTCAGCTGAAAACCCTGATATTTTTAGATATCGGAACTAGAATATTACTTTAAGAGAAAAGAAGTACTGTCCTGACTGAGCACTGCAGTCCCGCAATGCACGGGGAAAGCTGCAGAGGTCATCAAAAGTAAAGTACCTGAAAACGCCGCAGCGAAGATGAGGTTTCAAAAGTATAAATCACAAGAACTTACCGTCAACTCTTCCTATAGTCAGAGAAGCCACATGTTAATAGTCAGGCATCTCCTCAATCCTTTGCCGAAATTGAAATTAAACCAGTTTAGAAAAAGCAGTTTGGTTCCTCACGCGTCTAAGCAGCACATCCGTAAAGTCAAATAATGCCGCAGTAACAAAACCCTTCCTGATTGGCTGCAGATTGAGGAGTGGGGCAAATATCCAATAGGAGAGAGCGACTTACAAACGTTTGGCACCGTATGTCAACCAATAGCTCGTCGCGAGAGGAAACCCACCAAATTTGTATTTTTCTGCACGAGCTACTTCTTCTCTTTGGTAAGGAAACGCATTTATGTTCCTTTAATAACGTCTATTACATTGTGGGGACCTTTATTGAATGTAATTAGCGAAGGTTCATTGTTTAAAGTTTGAACAATCAATGAAATGTATTTTAAGTCGCGTAGTTTCTTAACAATGTCATAAGACAGTAGCGTCGTTAGCTTGCCATAATGGAATGCAGAGGATCGGATCGTTTATGTATATTTTACAAATAACCCTTTTTCCAAAGATGAGTGTTAAACTTTACTATTTGATCATATTTATGTCTTGTCTCTTTTAAAATAAGCCACATACTTGAGATTTAGGCGCTTCAAGACAACTCTTTCCACTTGGTTTTGACGTCAAAAATGGCCGGATTGTCATTGAACGTATCTTCCAGTTTCAGGTTTGGCCAGATTTTCAGACATGATGGATGCACTGTCGGTGGTGTGTCAGCTGCGGGACCTGGCGTCTGAACCACAGAACCGAGCTGTGATTGTCCAGGACCAAGGTTGTCTTCCAGGACTGGTTCTCTTCCTGGACCACCAGAATCCAGAAGTGTTGTTTGCAACCCTGCAGGTACAGAAATGTTGCAAAAGTATTGATTTCCCCTTAAAATGTTTTAGATACTCAAAATATGTATATCATTTGTTTTGTTTTTTTGTGCTACGTGTATTGTAAAGTATAAGGACATTAATAAATGTTCTCAAAATGTTTTATCTCAATAATTAAGTGATGATATATCCTGTCCTCCAGAGACATAAACCACCATAATTTGTATTTTTTTTGACTGTTAAATTGAAAACCAGTCAGTCATATTGAACAACCCAGTCTTTATTGTTTAAGAAATAAAAAATGTACAATGCATGATTTTTTTTTTTGAATTATTATTTTTATTTATTTGTGTTCAGACTCTTCGTTATCTGGCTGAATTGCCTCTCAATGTACCCATTATGAAGAATGAGCTGGGTATGATGGTGAGCTTGGAAAAACTTATCAGGAGGTAAGGAAATTTGACAATATTAAAAAGATAATACATTTTTATAAAGGTGATACTTTTATGCTGGAAAATGTGGCATCACCCAGTGTGGCTTATCAATACAGTAGATACAAGTGATGTTTTTTCCCCACAGGGAGGGCCTGTCTCTTGATATCACAGCTCTGGCTAAAGAGGTTTATAGCATTCTGAGAGCACCTGCTAATCCAGCACCACGCACACCGGAGAGGGAGAAAAGAAGGAAGCCCCAGTTCTTTATCAATTCTACCAACAAGAAGGCTAAGTCTGTGACATTACACATCCAGGGGTTGGACAGCACCGTAAGCTTTTTAACTTATTTACAATCTGATTTATGCTTCATCTCGTTTACTCTTGCATTTTCTTGCTGCGTTCAAGCAACAAAGAGGCTTATGTGAAGAGGCTCTTCTGAAAGTCAAAGGGGTGATCAGCTTCACTTTTCAAATGGCCTCAAAGAGGTGCACAGTCCGCATCCGTTCGGACCTTCCCACCGAGGTAAAGAGAAGGCATTCAACTTTATTTTGTTCTGGTTTATGCCTGATTGAAGCCCGTCGAATGCAACCAGGAAAAAAAGTGGTGCATTTTGTCTGAACTTGTGCATTTTCTGTCAGAGTCTGGCCACAGCTATCGCTTCCACTAAGGTGTTGTCGGCTCAGCAAGTGGTGAAAAACGAGGCTGGAGAAGAGGTGAATATCATTCAAATAGAATTTCTGCAAATCCAGACTGAGCTTTTAAAATATTTAATATCTCTTCCTTCAGGTTTATGTCCCTCTGAACTCTTGTGGCGCTCAGGTGCCACAAAACGCAGACATCCCAGACTACCTCCCAGAGGACGAGGAGCCCAGAGAGGGAGGTTGACAAAGCACTTTCCCGCACCGCAGCTAAGAAGATTCCAGCGGGAGCTGGCTGAATGCTGCTGCTAGTTTCCTCACAAAAACCTTCTACTGGTGAAGCTCTAATTTTGTCCTAAAAATGTCCATCTAGACTCCCTCTTCTCATTGCTGAGATGGAGTCCTCATACAAGCTGGAATGTTTGCTGATATGAGGGGTTTTGTCGAGTCTGCCATTCAACAAGCAACTACAAAATCATTGCTTTGTGTATGTACAGATTTGCTTTCTAAAAATCTTTCAAGCTAAATGAAAGTAAACTTGTGTATGTCTCTTTCTTTTTTGTGTTCCATTTACTTTGGACTTTTTAATTTGTTTTTGCTTGGCTGCGAGGGCCGTTCGAGGCTGCTTGCAGCTTTAATTTGTTTTTGCCTTTTCTCAGCATCGTTTACCTCCCAACATGTCAGTCATGTTCATCTTACTGTCTTACTGTTTGTGACTACTTGAACTGGTTTATGCTGAAATAAATGTACAAAAGATTGTCTGTATTGTTTGTGTGCATTGCCTCTTTTGCTCTAAGAAGTAAAAGAAAGTCTGTCCAAGGTAACCAGAGTGAATATTTAATCGGTTCCAAAATGTTTAATTTTCCAACAAATAGAGATGTAATAATTTTACACTTCAGTAATACAATGGTTCAAAAATTTCTTCCCATCCACGGTCCTTAAAGGATTTGTTTGCTTTCAAATTTTTATGGTCTTTCAGAAAATTTCCACTTGCTGATATTTACAAACGTATAGTCACAACTAGCTGAGTGAAAAATGTATGAGAAGCTGCTAACAGTGGGGTCAGAGCATTTAATCTGGCTTCAGATGTTTGCATCAAAAGGAAGACATGGGAGAGTTTGGCTGCAAATGCCAGAACTCAGGAATGCAGATTCACCTTCAACTCAGAGTAGAAACAATGTCGCCCTACGCAGCAAGGCAACCAACTTCACACTTAGCAGCATCAATTCACAAAATTATTCATTTGTTTGATCAGCTGTAAATTATTTCAAGTCATTTTTAGCTGTCTTAGGCCAAACAAAATTCAGCTTCTAACAGCCCAGAAAAAGAAAAAGTAAAACTCTTCCAGTACTCTGGGGCAAGTTGTAGGATACAGCTTTGACTGAGTTTTAACTATAAAAAATGGCTTCAACCCAAAGTAAATTTCTGGAGAAAAAAAAGGACGCAGGCAACTAGAAGAATCACATTATATCTGTACAGCAATTAAATGAAGCTAAACAGAAATTAGAAGTTTATGCCCCATTTCTCTGTTGCCTAAATAAAACAATCTTCTTTTAATAATTACTTAAAACTAAAGTTTGTAATACTCAATCATCCTGGCTCTGTCGATAGAATACATTGCATTATGTGACATTTCCAGATAGTCTCTATAAAACTTAGTTCCATCACGCCATCACTTTTGTACCAATTCAACCAAAACTGCTGAAGCTACACGAAAACTGCATCAGAGCCTTATTTTTCTTTCACATTGCAGACGCTGAAAATTAGGTTAAAGAACATCTTCAACGAAAATGCTTCAAGTATCATGGTTGGAGACTGAAAAGGTTTTCACTCAATCTCAGGAGTTGAAGTTGTATTGTGATTTTGGGGCGTTAGAGAACTGTTCGGGAACAAGAAGATATGACCAACTGTCACGGAGAAAATTAGCTCTTTGCCTGAGTTTCCTAAAGGAAAAGACACTTCTCTTGGAAAGGATGTCTTTTTTTTTTTTTTGGAGTTCTTTGGAGACACTGGTTTTGGGACATGGCAATGGCGTTTTTGTCCACAGGAGAAAGAGAGTATAAATACGGTGTTGCTAATCTCTCCTTTGGTTCAGTCTTCATAGCTCCATGATTCTCTGCCTCCTTCCGAGCGCTTCTCCTGTCTTCGTGGCTGTGGAGTCCAAAGCGTTCCAAAGCGGCGTCAGGCTACATCTGAATTTCAAAAAAGAAAAGGCAAAGGAATAAGAGCAAATAAATAAATGCAGTATAACTCACTAACCTAAAAATATGAAAGAATAAAGTAAATCTTTTTCTGAAAGAACAAGTGTTTCCTATACACACACATCTACAATCAAACAGTCCTGTACAATACATTTCCAGTCCAATTTTGTCATCTGTTTTCACATATGTTATCTTGAATATTAATAGTTTTACACACTTTGTACCAGACAACATAATCTAATACCATTTACAGTTATATTGGATGAATGCAACATTTGTGTAGGAAAAATATGTAAATACTGATGTAATTTTTGTCAAACGTGTCTGCTAGAAATTATTCACAAGCACCAACATCCGTATATTTCTATTGTAAGGTTGAGTGTACACGTTACATGACACATGTCCAACTGAAGGTGGTATAATAAGTCGTATTGACCTGGTCCCTGATGGGCTGATATATCTTCAACTGCACTCAGAGGCTTTAGAAGACCGTTCTCCATGAAGGCTACGACAGAAACCTTACTCTCCTCTTCCTCCGTCTCCTGCTGCTCCTCTCCTTCGGGAGGAGACAACCTGGAATGTGAAGGCAGCGAGATCACCTCTTCGAACTCCCCGTTCTCCCTGTCAAAACAAGAGTGGAAGTAAAAAAAACCCAACAAATTTTAAATGTTGCCATCAGCGCTGTAATAAACAGGATAGAAGTGAAGCGGTACGCTACCGCTGGTCAGGGCGGCTCAGAGGAGTGGTGCTGGGTTGTGGGCTGAGGTCAGGTTGGTGACCGTTGCTGTTTGTCTGAGGCACGGTGGCTGCAGGTGCTGCAGGAGAACCAGAGCTCACTGATGGAACAAGAACAGTAGCTATCAGTAGCATCCTTCAGTCGAACAACAGAGGAGAGGTATTTTTGGGAGGAGAGGTGTTTCCTGTTACCTGCGCTGTTTCCGGTCCTGACTTTCTGAAGATGAGGGAAATGACAATAAACATTTTGAAAGGTGTCTTAGGTGCGTTTTCGCTTTTTAACCAATATGTGCTTTTACCTTATCTGATGTGTCTGAGCGTCTGGTTCTCTTCATGATCTCCTCAAGACGCTGCAGGAAGTAAAGGAGATAATTTAATTCAAAAACATAGGTGATTTTTGGATGGACTATTTATTAGTGTTTGAAGACATCACCTTTTTTCTCTCCAATCGTTCTGCTTCTTCCTTCTGAAAGTGCTTCTCCCTCTCCTGCCTCAGTCGCTCTGCCTCCTCCCTCAATCGAGACTCCTCCTCCTCTTTCTGATCCAATCACAGAGACAAGCATTGAGACAGAGCTCAGCTAAATTCAGCACCAACAGGCAAATCTCACTGAACCAGAATAATAATAGAAAATCATGCAATAAGAACATTAATGGAAAATACTCAGATGATAATATTATTGAAGATTAAAGCTGTTCTCTCCTCACTTGTGTCTTTTTTTATTTTTTCTTGCAATTGTGACATTTAATGTTTTAGGAAAAATGATGGTTTTCCAATTACTATGTTGGTCATGACATAACATTTCTGTGTAAAATATATTCTTAATTGACCATAAGTAATATATACTTTTTGATAAACTAAATGTTGTGTTTTCACACAAGTACTGATAATCATGGAACCAAAACAAAAAAGAAAAGATTGCTGTGTCCTTTGACCTGTTTCTGAAGTCTCTCTGCTTCTTCTCTCTCCCTCTGAAGTCTCTCTTCCTCAGCCTTTCTCTCCTCCTCCTCATGCCTTCTCCTCTCCTCTGCCAGACGCTGGGCCTCCTCTTCTCTCTTTGCTCGCTCTTCCGCTTTACGACGAGCCATCTCCTCCTTTGCTAATCTGAGCGGAGAGAAACAAATTACATCAACGCAAGTCAACCTGCAGCATCTGTGACACCAACAGATGTCCTCAAAGGGCCTCCGTACCTCGCCTGCTCCTCTTGTTGCCTCCGTTCCTCCTCCTCTCTCTCCCTCTGCTCCCGGGCCAGTCGCCGTTTTTCGGCTAGGATCCGACTGGCCTCCTCTGGATCTGTGGTACCAGCTGACGGTTTCTGAGTTGGAGGACTGCTTATAGTCTCTAGAAAACATCATAAAAGAATTGTTGAAACAAATACATCCTTCCAGCATGATTTACTTCTTTATGACTGACCGTTGACTTCAGCTGGTGCCTCACTCGGGGATTGTTCTCTCCCAGTGGCTGAGGTCTGGGTTGGGGAGGACTGAAAATCTTCGCTTCTTCCTCTTCTTCCTTTGGAGCTGCTGTTGGCGTTGAGGGTTGAGAGTGCTCAGGTGTGATCCTGACAGGACGAAGGTTTCCGGGATCATCTGAAACTGGAGATTTAAGTAGCTTGGGAGTTGGGGGACGTCCCAGTGTCTTTTGTGGAGGTCTGTGAGCAAACGAGAATAAAAATGATATTAGAAGCTAAGGTCAAAATAAGAAATTTATTCAAGCTTTATTGAATAAAGTTATTTTGCTCAATAAATTTTGTTATTTATTATTCAAGCTTCATATTTGTTTTGGAGAGAACAATAGATTCATCTACCTGCCAGCAGAGGGTGGTGTTGCTTTGTTGGACTTTTTGCCTGAAGAAATGGTGGACTTATTGGGAGGTAACGTCAGAACAGGAGCCAATGGAAGGGACAGGTTGCTCCAAGACTTCCTGATGCCGTCACGCTCCTTATGCTTATACAAATTTTTAAAGATGCAATGATAAAAAATATTAACATACACTTCTTTGTTTGCTTCATGTTCCCTCTGTATCTAAGCAAATTGGTACAATACCATGATAAAGTAATTACGTCTTACACAGCATGAAATAAAAAGTTTGGGGTCGTTACATACCAAATGAAAACTAACACAAAAACAAAGTAGACAATCATTGTGAGGCAGAAGGAAATGACACATGGTTTTCAAGTTTTACACAAATATAAAATTGAGGTCTGTGACATAGATATTTATCCAACCTCCTAACTCTCATACCCACAAATAAAATGAATCTATCCATCTAAATGGAGAGGTGAGAAAAGGAAGAAATCTGTGTCTGTTTGGAAAACATTTGTGCTAGGAAATATTCCTTCCATACCTGCATAGTTCCTGTGGTCCTCCTACGAGCGGTGGAGGAGGCCGGCAACGTTTTCTCTCTGCTCAGGTTCCTGTCCTGGCTGCGACAGTGAGGGAGCACTTGGGCCTGCAGGGTCTTGAATGACATGGCGCCCATGGGGTGGCAGGAAACTGAGCGAGGACACACAGGCATGGCTACAGTGATGATGCACAAGGTGGAAGGGGAGGTTTGGAGTGTTTTGGAGGTATGATTCGGAACAGTGTGGGAATTTGTGGGACACCAGGAAAGATTTGGCGAAAAGGCACATAAAAATAAAGTTCAGAAGTAAAGGTGAACATGTAAAGGAAGTTAGGTGAATGGTATGAATAAAGCCATGCATTTAGGGAGGTCAAACATAGGGTAAAAGGAATGAAAAGGTGATGTTTGGTAGTAAGGAAGCAGAAGAGAAAGAAGCTGTTAGTGCTACAGATTAGTAGAAGCACAACATGTATACAGACATCACCTAACACAAGAAACACCCCAAAGAGGGAAACATATTTAGTTTATTATTCAATCAGGACAAGCTAGGCAGTATTACACATTACACACAACACAAAACTTAGAACCTATGCACAAACTACAACATGAAGAAAAAGCTAAAGTGCACATTTACACATTGTGTCTAATTTCAGGCCAAAGAGCAACGTGAAAAATAGACAGAAAGAACTTTGTTTAAGTCTGCAGGTGAACATAGGTGAACACTTTATCCCATCACTTCCCAACATATTTTCCTTAGTATCTCCTTTCTAACAAAACAAGGAACTTTACCAAATGCATATTTAGAACCCAGAGCACATAGTAGTTATATGCGCACTCTTATGAATGCACCTTTCTAATTGATCTCGCTACTGGATATATTGGATATATTTTCTGGTAAACAACCAACATCCATGGTGACTGCTTGGTGGCCAATGCACAATCCTTTTAGAGCTTGTTCTGTTCTGAAATGCAAGGCTTCTGAGAAAACTACCCACATATGAAGTCCGATAGTCTGTTGAGTCAAGTCACTATTGTCAAGCTCTTTGGTGAACCCAGGTTTAGAATCACGGTCTGCAAACTTTGATGGAGCTTCATTTTATTTTATAACTCTATGAAATTTGTAGTTTTCAACATGAAAAAAGAACACATTAAAAATAGCATACAATTATTGTAAAACTACAATGCAAAGTTGTACAAAGTTCACACAGTAACTTTGCAAACGTTTTGCTATGGAGACGGGAGGAGCAGCCAACGCGGTCAATGGGTAAATACTTCCTAACCAGCTTAGACACCAGGATCTTGCGGTCTGCTTCAGTGCATGTGTTTGTTTACGTGTGTGTGTGTTTGTTTACGTGTGGGTGTGTGTGCGTGTGTGGTGACCAACAGTGAGCTTCGGGTGCCTGATACAGGCTGGTAAAGGCAGTTTGGGACAGTGTAATGCTTTAAGTCCACTCAAATCTTATTAACAATGAAAGCCCTCGAGGTCAAGAGACTCTGTTGAAATATTATCACTTATTTCTACTGTACAGGTGAATGCAAAAAGTCTTTCATCAAATTTAGGATAACCAAACGCCCCAGAGTGAAAGAACCATGGACTGGACTGTGTGTTACCTGACTGTTCTCCAGACAAGCTCATGGCACTACGACTCCGGGCCAGGTATGAGTGCGTTGGCTGCTGTAGACGGTTCACCATGCTGCTCTCCCATGGCGTCAGCGGGAGCCGGCGGAGTCCTGAATACAGACGCATGTAACACCTGAGCTTTGATAACAGCTAAAACTATTATCTACCCACTTATCAGCCCAAGCAGTCAAAGCAGATTATAAACCATTCGCAGGCCCAGCACATCTTCCCTTTACTTATCCAAAGTGAAAGGTGAACAGAAGTCAAGTTTAAACCATGGACACCCCATTGCATGCATTAAACTGGTAATTATCAGAGGAAGCAACTCCTTGAAGTGAACAGCACACAAAAGCAAGATGAGGGCAGGGGAGAGATAACAGAAGGCTGCAGCATAAAATATCATAATGCAACATCGAATTACAAAACCAGACTTCCCAGGATTTTATACAAGCAGTTTAAATATCTGATCATAACTCCTCAATTGCTCACTGGGAACACATGTATAAATGATGTCCATGATAATCCTTTTATCCACTTTAACATCAGGCAAAACATGCAGTGTGGCAGGGCTGGCTTGGACCTTATTCAATGCTCTGGAAAAGTACTTTCACCCCAGAGTCCTTTTGGTTTTCATTGTTTTGGCACACTTCAATAGATCAAGCACATTTCAACGTCAGACAAAGATAACCTGAGTATAGGGAAAATTCAGTTTTTAGAACATGATTCCATTTATTAAGGAAAAAATAAAACAAATGTGTACTTAGTGTGAACACCTGAATAGAACTTAAATTTTCGGGAAAAAAAGTCTGTACAAACCAATCTGTCCCTATGTGAAAAAGAAATTGACTGCTATAATGGCTCTGCCCACCTTGGAGGCAAAAATTGAGTGTTGGTAATAAATTTTGAACCACTGTTTGCAGAGTTGTAAGAACTTGTTTAACATCTTGCCGCAGTATCTCAACAGGATTAAATCTGAAGTGTATCTAAGCCACTTCAAAATCTTAACACTGGACTTGCTGATATGAAAAATAGGCTTTGGATTATTTTTCCAAAAAGGTCTTTGGGAAGTTAGTTACTTTGAGTTATTTGGCCATAATTGGTTTTCACCTTCTCCAAAGATTCTATTTTTGCCTAATTTCTTTCGTCTTGGCAAGTCATGGTCATTTTCTCAAACTGAAGAAAGATGGGCTAGCAAATTTTTAAATTTCTTTTATGATCTCAAAGATAAACCAATGATGTGCTCTAGGAACAATTTTGGACGTCTGGCCACCTCTTGGCTTTTACTATTATTCCCTTTTTAGACTGATAGATATAAAGGTGCATCAATCTTTACATTTATTTAGAATGAGGCACAACATGTCACTTGCATTTTATTGACCAGTTGTATATTTAAGTAATTTTTTGACTCTATATGTCAGGCAGGCTGGTTTTGCTAACTTTTGTCCTTAATAAATGAATTACCACATAAAAAATGCTTTCTACATTTGCTCAGTTTATCTTTGATTGATATAAAAATTTTTAGTTCTATAAAATATGCAAAAATGAAGTAATGTAATGGGGTAAATACTTTTCTTAAGTATGCAGGTAAAAGATAATAAGCTGAAAACTGAAGGAATGAATGCTCAATGCATAGTATTGTTAAACAATTTATAGTACATACATAATTTTTAAATATGGCCATTTATTGTTTTCTTTTTTTTTGGTATAGCAACTGAGGTATTGATGAAGGTTTTAAATGGAAATAGCAGGCGGAATTAACATAATAATATAAAATATGGCATTTTTTTAGCCATGATGCATATACAGCATTCCCATAAAAAAACACACATAAAAAAAGGATTATCCTACAGAGGATTATAGAAAGGGGTTACATTGGAGCCCAAATCTAGTGATTAAATACTCCAGTGTAAGCATGTGCTCATTCACAATACAGTGAACTGTAGTGAGTTGTAATTTAAGCGTAATCTGCAATCAGATTGCAGACATCCATCGGTTAAATTTAAAAGAACTATCTTTTTTTTTTACTTTCATTCGCAGTTTTCAGCCCATGATCTTATCTGCTCTATGCATTATAACACAAGCAGTCAAAAGTGCCCTTAGTGAAACCTGTGTTTTTGTGTGCATGGTCTTCCCCTGATGTAGGCGGGGTTTGGACTGAGCTTTGCTTATTACAGGGGTGGAAGCTGTTCTCATCTGTAAGCCTGTCAGTAACATATAAACATCAAAGGAAACATGATGTTTGAAACTTTGCACAAGAAAAAAATACTTCAAAAACAATAAACAGTTTAAGAAACACCACTGAGAGTTCGACAATATGATCAATATTCCCCAACCTGTTCAAAAAGTATGTTACTGTAAACAACGTATAACTGGGAAAACAAATACATTTTTACATGTTTTGGTCTTTCATCCATACAAAGCTCCACCATATATCACTAAAAAAATAACTCAATAAATTCCAATTCCCATCATAATTTCTGTACACTAACAGCAAGCCAAATATTCTATTAACTTTCACAACAAAGATTTAGCACAATCCAACTCTCAGCTAAAAGTCATATGGAACATCCCAACAACAACAAGTGTGAAAGCATTTAAATAATAAATAAAAAGGAAACAAAGATATAAGGAGGTGACATATGCATGTCATAATTTTCATTACCTCTGTCTGGTGAGTGCAGCAGTGTGGCAGACGAGGAGGAGAGGCGCTTGGTAATGATGTTATCTGTGTGTTTGGATAAATTCACGGTGGACACCGACCTTCTGTCAGCATCTAGAATCAAAATGAGAACAATTAATTAATGATAGCAACCAAAAGGAATTGAGACTTGACCCAGCAGGCTTTACGTTTCTATACATTTATGAATTAAGGTTAGAACTGGAAAACTACCAACTCCTAAAAAATAAATGAATTAGTGCTAAATGGAAATATTGTGTCTTTGCGATACGACTTTGGGTAACGTGGTGCACTGCTAACCAAATACTAACGATGTCGCCCACATTGGTTTACATGTGTACTAATGAACACATGTAGTATACTAGTGCTCTAAAACTAGCCAGCTAACTGACACAGAGCTATAATATTCACAGTGGGACGTCAATCCGTATCTGCGGTAGAAACTGAAAGCACTTTGCATGTGCTCCAGTCCAGCAAGGTCGAGTGGACAGAGGAAAGCAGACTCCACAAAACCTGAACCAAGAAAGAGCAAAGACGAGATATAGAGCAGGAAATGAGTCAGAGAGAAGTTGAACATGAGAATGAAAGAGAGAAAGACAGGGAAGGTGGAGAAGGGTGTGAGTAAGCAGTAACAACAGAAGGCAGCGAACCTGAAAAGTGCAAAAATAAACATAATAGAACAATTCTGACAAGCTGAGGCGGCTGGAAAAATGTGTGATTTCTGTGGCAGACTTGATGTGTTTGTACAGGGCCTTTGCGGGTATGATTGTGCTTCAGTACCAGTTGGTATGCTTGGAGTGTTGGTGTGCAGTGCTCCTCCCCAGGACCAGCGGTTTTGCTTTGGCCTGGTTTTCTGGCTCCGCTCCAGCGTGCGGCGTATCACTGCCTCATGACGCACCTTCAGTCAGAACAACAAAGAGAAAATCCTCAATGTGGCAACTTCTTAGGCTTTGAACAAGCACAATATAATCTCTTCAGTCTCTGTGGTAGTGAAGAAAGTGTTTTTTTACACTAGTTTTATGGCTGCATGAGATATACCAAATAAATTAGGAGGCAAATCGTCTAAATAACACTTGTATCTCAGACAAATAGAAATGGGAGATGCAATGCAAAAGGAGCAATGCAAAAAATAAGGAAAAAGTACCTCAAAGTTATCACTTCAATTAGAGATGAAATTTAGTGTAATTTAACCAGGGTGAGTATGAGTCATAAAAGCCTCAGTATAAAATGCTACAGTTTAAATTTCAGCATCAACATGTATGTGGAGCATTGTTGAAACATAAAAAAACTTGAAACCCAGTCTGTACAGTTGAAATCAGAAGATTAAATACACCAAATAAAAAGGTACGAACATATTCTTTCTCATACTTGTCTTGTTTTAGGTCAGTTAGAATAACCAAAATTATTTATATTTGCTAAATTCCAGAAAACTTATCCAGGACAACTTTCAGAGATTTTCTTTCTAACCGTATCTGATTTCCTCACTATAATCCTACAAGGTCAAGCAAGTGTACACAATTAATGGATGAAAGTATATCATTTGTTGAACTTATTTTATCCAAACAGATCAGATTTGATGTCAAAAAATATTTATGACATTGCAGTTTTTTATAACTTATGAGGCCTCCATAATGGTTGTCACTCTTATTTCTTTTCTTACTCTCAGATGAGGCTTGTCAAGCATACAAAAACCAAACAGATGTGTACCCGGTCCTCCTCTTGCTTTTGCCTTCGCTTCTCCTCCACAGCGGCCCTTCTTTTCTCCTCTTTTATCCGCTGCTCTTCCAGTTTTTTCTTCCTCTCCTCCAACTGTTTCTCATAGTGCTGCCTCGCTCTCTCCTCGCGCGCCTGCCACTGGGCTTCCTTGGCAGCTGCATGCACGTACGCACAGACAAGATGGAATTTGACTTGCATAATTAAATTCACACACATACATGCACATATCAACAAGGAGAAGGGTAAACTGCACTTCCTGTGAGAATGCTGTAACTTCCAGCACAAAGTAAATCCTTATATGAAGCCAGATCTTTGACTTATGTAAAACATGTCCAGCATGTGTAACAAACAGCTTTTGACTTTTCAGCCTTAATAAGACCTGCCTGATGGACTGCCGTATTATGTAAGGTAGAATCCATGGCAACTGGGTGCCTAGGTTCACCTGGATTTTATGTAATATCCAGGGAAACCGGCACTTCACAGCTGCCAACCAAGTTCAGCCACAAAATGTCAGGAGAGAATAAAGAAGAACAGCCACAGATTCACTTTAAGGTGCCTTAAGACATAAATTTCCTTCTGAATGTCTTTCAAACACATGAAGATAAAGAGTGCTCACCGTTCTGTTTTTCCTGCTCCTCCCTGCGCTCACGGGCCAGCCTCTGTCTCTCATCAATCTTGTTAAAGAGCAACGAGTCTGCAGAACAGTTTAGTAGTACTATTAGCAAGTCTTCCCTTTCGAAGGGTAAAACTGCCAAGAGAAATGAGCAGTTTTTTTTTTATTTGTTTTGTGTTTTTCAGTAAAATGAATTTATTCTAAATGAATTACCTGTTTTGGTAGCAGCATAATTACTTGTGTTTTTGCTGGTGGTCCGATTAGGAATGGGAGGGGGTATAGGTGTCCCAGCGGGGGAGTAGGTCTGCCCAGAGGCTGAAGATCCTCGACCATCCTCAGACCTATACTGGGAGTAAGATGCTGAGAAGAAAAACAGATTGGCATCAAACACTGAGCAAAGAGACAGAGATGGAAAACAAACAAACAAAAAAACTAGGACCATAAAAACAAGTGGAGATTAATTGGTCCAACATGGAAAAATTAAAAATCATCCACAGGCATAAAAGTTTTATGTCGTATTGACACGTCAGAATTCAAAGCTCATTTCAGTGATTTTACTGTCATGGTAATGGACTTGTCCAAATGTAATTGCTTAACTAATCACTAATAGGAATGATTGATAATCTTTAGTCAGATTTCATGAGTTGTGAATTATTATAGTACAACGGTAGAGACTTGTATGTCATAATCCTGAATACCAAGATCAAAATCTCGATAAAATGTCTCTCTTAAACAGAGATGTACTTAGTTTTTCCTGGACAATTTCAAATTTTCACAAAGGTCTGATCTACCAATTCCAATTGTTAATGTATATCACAGAATGAAAAAAATAATGCATCATGAGGTATGCATACTTTTGAAAGCTTTTGAAAAATAAAAAGAGGAAAGGTCCTGCATTCAAATTCCCACTTGGGGTATTTCTGCATGGAGTTTACATGAAAGCATGAAAACTCCATGCATGATGTATTCTAATACACCTAAGCCATACGGTAGCTGCTTTATAGTCCAAAGGTCCAAACAAAAGAGAGGTGTGTTTATGTCTGGAACATGCTTGCAGCAATAATCTAAGATTTGTAAAAACAAGCACATCTTATGAACTGTGTGAATAAAAGCAGACTAAAAGTGTGCCTGTGGTTTCTGTTACATGGTTGCGGTCTCCTGACAGAAAAAACAAAACAAAACATTATTCAATATTCATGTTTTTTGTTATAACCAGTGTTCACTCCTCATAGAGCTGAGCTATTGATTGTTGGTTCTATTGGCTCCTGGGTGACTTAGCTCTTAATTTTAGCCATTTGGACACAAAGCTTTATTTAAAATGTGCTAAAACACATTATAAATAAAAGCATTAAAACAACCCTTTGAGTTGTAACATTAGTGCCATTAGTAAATTAAGAAGACAAAACAGAGTTATGTAAAAATATAACTTGAATAATAAAACTGAAATTTGTGTGGAAGAGGCAAATGTCACAATTCATTCAATTCCTCCAAGCCCAACTAAAATAATACACTTCAACACTCATGTGGGCTTCCTATCTTTTCAGCAACGCCACAGCTTGTCTAGTAATTACCCACAAGAGGAGCAAAGTACAAATTTTATATCTGCTTTCACCAGTGTCTAAAGTTAGACAAAGAGTCTATTTAAAAATCCTGATTCTCAATTTCTTGTGTACTTTCAAGCATCTGATGTCGCTGACTCCACCCAGAAAGGCTCGGCAGGGTGGAGTCAACCCTGCTGACTCCACCCAGGATTGGAGTTTTACACGAATTTACAAAAGAGTCGAGAAAAGACATCAGTCATAGTTGACTGAGTATTGTATGTTACCATGTATGGGGCAGCTGCAGAGGTGTGTACACAAGCATTCACAGGTCTGCATTGCCTCAGGTACATGTGGTCATAGCGACTATTATTACAACAAGAAAGGCAGCACCAGGACTTTGTTCGTACCTGAAAATCACTTTCCTCAAATAAAAGATCGGTTCAGAAAGGAAAGGATCATTTCCCGCAGCTCAATATTTAACTTGATATTTGTCTAGAAGCCCCTCATTATGAGCTTGGCATGATCTAAAAAAAATGTGCAAGAGAATATATATTTGCTTTTCTGAGGTCATCAAGAACATCAAGAAGGGGGTGGGGGCAGTACTCCACCACAACTGGCAATTTGTTTTGATTCCGGAAGCTTTGAATAAACCTCGTTCAATGTCCCATTCAAATCTGTTCCCTCATAGCCAACTTTCCCCGGCTCTTTATTCCCTCAACTTATCCAGGAAAGGTCAAAATCAGATAAGATAAAACCTGTTGATCTCATTTTAGAGTCTGTCCAAAAAGGCCTTCTCCTAGTGAGAAATTTGTGAAATGTATATCTAGAGAGTTAAGAGAAATCCTTACATGTCCAAAAACCTGTCTGTTAAGTAGAGTAACTTAAGAGAGGGAAAAACATTAGTCTTGTCTGAACTAACTGATTGGGTCCTTTCTTATTGACAATGTCTAGTTTCCTTTGAGGTTTGAGCTACCTATTCTGATCCTAAAACATCAAACGGAAATTTATGCTACAGGTTTTTTTGATAGATGTCATAATTTTGAATCTGCGTTATCTTAAACGATCCATCAAAGCATATATTGGTAAGATGTATAGTAGTTGATTTTTATTGTGTGCCCTTAAAGGGAAACAGTTCTGGCCTCTGACCACCTGATTGGTGCATCCTTACTTTAACCTTCTCCTGAATAGATGTGAGGAATAGCCACTTTATTCTTGGCCAGCAGAATTCAAATATAATTCAACACACTAGACTGCAGTATGAAAGAGCTGAGTGTTGTCATTGTTAAAGTCCACAATTACTTATCATAATAGTTAGGCTACTTCCCTTAGCTTTGCAGTAAACCAAGACAAGCAGCTTCCTCTGTTTTCATGCATCATATACTGTGCTAATTTTTGTTCGTTTGTACACATTCTTCGCTAGGCCCCTAAACCTAGAAGGGTGGCAGTGTTTACGAGATGAAAAGTAGCAGCATGTTTTTCAGACTGGATTTTGAATAGTGTTACGTATTAAGGTTAGAAATCAAAGCTCTGAAATTATATTTGCCAAGGGTCAGCTTTGAAGACAAAAAGCAAGTTGAGAGTGTCTCAAAGTGATTGGAAAACACTATCACCAAATACAGTGGAGTTTGTGCGAATGGATTCACCAAGAAGTGAAAGCTTAAATAAACTGTATTTGGAGTGCAGCATTCAGAACAGGAGGTGCTTTATGCCCCTCTCAGCTGTTGTTAAAACAAATGGACAAAGCTAAGTTCGGAAGCTGTGTGCATCATCCAAAAAAGCTACGCAGAGGTAATCAAATATATGTGAACAAGCACTTGCTTAAAACATGAGACTATATTGAGCTAAATACATATTTAATGAGTTACAAATCCTACTAACTCAGTGTAGGATTTTTATGCGACATCCTACTCCTCCCATTAATTCAACTATTATGCACCAACACCACATATTTTAGCCAGTTGAAATAATCTGCTGCTCCAAATGTTAATTTTGTTACCAACTGGTTAAAGTTCTTAAACTGATTATTGAACAGAAAGAAAAAAAGAGGAGATACAGAAACAATCATACAGTCTCCACGATGTATTCCTGAGAAAATTTTACACTTTTACATACTTAAGTTCTTAATACAATTTTTATATAAAAATTGTAAATTGTAAATTTGCAGTAAATTAAGTGAATTTACTGCAAAATTAAGCTTTAAACACAAAGTCTGCAAAAAAAGATCAGATGGACAAATCAATGGCCATTTCAGACAGAGAGACAGAAACTAGAGTGTAGAAATAAATTTTTTCTGTACTTTTATTTTTCCACATGTTTTATACATGGAAAACATATGGAATGACAATACTATTATTATTGCAACATTGAGCAATATCATTTTTGAATTTATCCCCATAAGTTGAAGCAATATTATCCATTAAAATGAAACACTTAAACATCAATCCAAACATTGCCTTAAATTTCTGCTTCAAACTTGAACGTTCACCTGAAATTTATGAAATCCATGTAGTAAAAACCCAATAACCAAAAGCGCTTGAGTATTTGATGCCAGACTAGCTGGCAAGAGAGAGCCATTATCTCTGCAACCTGACCTTGGATAACCAAAAACCAAGTGATGGATACCTTATAACAAATAAGTGATTAATAATAATAACAATAATAACATCAAACTGTTGGTACAAATAGCATATTTTAAAAACAATCAGTCACAATAAGCTCTCCACTGATCTGCTATACTTTCAGCATAGCCGTGTCCTTTCTGAGGATCACGCAAGCATCTGTTTCAGAGATCACTGAGTCAACAAACCTCAGATAGCCCAAAGTGTATTTGCTTGCTTGTTTAACACCATTCGCAAATACATTAAACCTGCTATACAGTGTAATTGGACCTTCTCCCAGTAGAGACGTCCTGTAACCAGGTCCACTTGTCAATGCTGCTCTGAGGCTTTCAACATTTTTCTTTTTTTAAAACATTCAACTATCTGAGTTAAGTAGTGAACTACATTACAAAGCATCAAAAGGGATGGCTTCTCAGAAACTGGATGATTGTGGTTTGTATTTAAACTGACAATTTAAGTGGTGAAAAGGATATTTTTGCTTTGCATCTCCAATTTTACTTTTATTTTCTCGTGAAAATTAACTGTATTTATCACCCTTCATATCTGTCTGTGGTTTCAGTGATGAAAATCAGTTGAAAATAATTAAAATTGCGCATGACTTTAGCCCGACAGCATTCATGTACATATAGAAGATTTGTTAATTTCATGAAGAGTTCAATTTTTGGAGACACAAGATTTTTTTCACAGAATATAGTACAAAAATCTCCAGATGGTAATGAGATTTTGGAGAGCTAAAAGCAGAATGCCCAGTGAAAGATACGGTCAAAGTGCCTACTTTAACTTCTTACCATAATAAAACCCAATCTTATGCCCTTTCATTCCTCTTTTCCACAGTTCCTATCGTCATCTATTGATTAATCAAAATACAATACAATTGTATTGAATACAGGTCCTCCAGTTGGTCAAAGCACAGGGTTTTACCTGAGTTGTTCATAATGTCAGATGTATTAATCCAAATGTGGGACCTCTGACCCTGCCTGGTCTGTCCACTTCGGTTAGATCAATCACAGGTTGGCAGCAAGGTTCCTACTTCCTGAAAACATTCTTCCCAGCAGAATCTGAGCTCAAATACAAAGTCCACAGTCCAGGTAGAAACCAAAAGGAAAACTCCTCCATTCCAGTTTTTCTACATTAGATTTAGAAAGCGAGCGAGGTCAGTCGGTGTCACCGCTGTTGACTCGCCAGTCCCCATCCTTTTGTCTGTGTGTGCATGTGTGTGTGTGTTTATGCGCTTTGTATGAATATGTGAGATATAAGTGAGAGTGTGACTGTTTAATCTGGCCCTCCCGCCTCCTACGCTCGTTGTCTGTCTGTCTGCACACCCTCCCCACCCCCAGTCTATCTGCATTCATCGGCAGTCAGATTAAATGGTCAGAGTTGGCGATTAATGCTCTGCCGTCCAGGCCAGTGGGTAACAGGCAGGCACAGTGTGCAGCTCCTTCCTTCCTTGCAGCCTGAGAGGATTAGCTGCTGCTAATGCTAAGCCAAACTGTAACCTCCAAACACCGGAGTGGCAAAGGGGGCAGGGTTGAGAGTATTCCTTTATAGCTCTGGAATGGGCATTCGGTTCTGGACGAAAGGTGCAACAACAGACGTTTTTATAATTTTGTGCTCCGAGCTGCATTGTCTTGCATACAAAGTTCAGCTGAAAAGTAAGAAGGCTCTCACAAACGAGGTCATTTTTGCATAAAATGACCTCGCTCATTTTATGCAAAAACAAAAATCAGACTGAAAGTTTGCCATCTTACGTTTGCCAGAGATTTCTCAAAGGCTACCTTATCATACTTTTGAATTGTCCACAAAGTTTGTGACTCAAGTTAAAGGTGATATTACTTCATCTGATAATTTTCTGTGAAAATACTTGCAAAGCAAGTTAAACAGTCAAAATACAATAAATCAAAACTTTCAGCAGTTCTTTCCATTTAAACATAGAGTATGTATTAAAAATAGTTTTAACTGTGTTTTTACAAATTTTCTGTCATGTTTCACCCTCAAACTACAGTGTATTTTATTGGGAAAACAAAGTCGGTAGTTGTAACAGGGAAAGACATCTGCTGAAACCTTTCCCCATTTTAGTTGCAAAATAGATCAGTTCAATCAAAGGATGGAGTCAGTGAAAAACAAGCAAAAGAACAGATTTTGCTGTACATTTTTAACCAAATGTAGGTCTGGGCACCTCAACACTCAAATTTGTTAAGATCTAAAATTTGCCATTGTTGCTCTGGCTATAGATTGAGACTCAGTCTGATGGAGTGACAGCACCAGTTGCAGTCTCTAACAGGTTTTTCTTCCAATGTTGATATGCATTTAGTTCAGTTCATCTTATAACTTGTGCTATTAAAAAAAGGCCTCCCTATGGAATAATTCTGCAACCACCATGTTTGACAGTGGTAATGTCATGTTCAGGGAGATGCATTAATTCTCGGCCACTACTATTGTCAGTTACGGTATTTTGTGACCGTAAACAGGTAAAAGCTGTAATTCCAGCCTCTTCCTAAAAGGTATCGCCCCAAAATACTTAACTTTTGAAGACCTCCCAATTTTAAGAGAATGTCCAGCACTGCACATTTCTTACTGCTGCGACTGCAGTCATATGTTGGGGGGTGTTGACAGACCTCTTTGCTTACAAACGCATTACCATCACATACACGGAGAAAGCACACTGCACCTCCGCTCTCATCTCTGCTGTCCTTGTCTTGACCTAATCTTGCAGGCTCAGCTCATTTTCTTTCTTGCACAAACAAAAGTGTCCATCATCACAGACCCTGTGCACCAATGGTGTCTGCAAAGGGCAGGCTAATCCAAACCCCATAAAGCAAAGTACAGCAAGATATTTTACTTTTGAGTATAAATATATGAGCCATACAGTAAAAAGAAAAAAAGAAGTGCGCAAATCTTTTGGTATGTCACATTTTCAGAGCATCTGCAGCTCTGACTCTCTGGAGAATGCTCAAAGTTTCCTCAATTCAATTATAAACTCTTTGTCCCAGATAATGCTCTTAATTTAGATACATTAATGCACACTCAAACTTGCACGGCCACATTGGACACCCATCAGTTGACTTTCCTTCATACCTCGTTTCTTTTTCCTGCCAGCCTCCCTCCGTCTCTGTACCTCCTCTTCCTCAGTGATGGTAAAGAGTGGTTGAATCGTCAGCCGGCTGCCTCTCTTCCTCAGCTTCCTCTTGTCTCTGGGTGATCCACTTCCTCCACCTCCTCTTGCTTCCCTATCCGGCATCGCCTGCCCTGTTGCAACCGTCGAGCCCCCAGGCTAACTCACCCGAGCCCTGCCCATCCCATCCCACCCAAAGGAGATAGGGAGCTGTTCCAGAGGACTTTGGAGGTCAGGGTCACCCCTAACAATGCTCTTCTTCAGAAAGATGTAGGTGTCTAACAGATAAATACCCACAACCATGTGAAACAAGCTACTTTAAATCTAAAAAGGTTTTCAGATGATACAAAAATAATTTTGAGGACAGCCAAAGAACGGCAAAAAATGATGAGTCAAGAATAAACCCAGTGCAATGCAGAGAAAGGAACAAACAGAGCAGCTCAGAGGACCAGCGAGCAGAGAGCGTGAGGATGAGGATGAGCTCTGGTGGTGTGGCTTAGAAAAGAAGACTTAATCCACAAGACTGGTTCCGCAGAGGTCTACAAGAACCGCACAAGTGACTCCAGCACTCCTCAGGAGGATGCTGCATCTGCTGTCTCCACATACACCGCCACCTCCCGTCTTTATAGTCCCCCCACTAGATCTCATCTGCAAATCTGCCAGGAGAATTACATCACATAGCAAATCCTTCTACTGTACGAAGATATGCGCACACAGGGATGGGGAGAATAAAAAGAGTTGGGAGAGTCGATAAAATATTCAGTGCAGCTCCAGTAGTGGAAGGTGAGCCAGCACAACGTAATGGGTTTCCCTGACAACAGCCGCACATGGACCAGTGACACAGTGCAAAAGTAGGAGTTTGACAGGTGGACGTCAGAGAAAAGAAGCACAGTTTGCTGATGCTACTCGAAGAATAATGCAGTACTGGAGCCATTGCTTTGGCAGGAGTCCAGAGAGCACATGGTTTATGGCTCCACCCACTGTCTCCACTTAAAGAGAAATCATATTATTTTTATGTGGGCCGGTTTCTGGTAGCAAATTATGCTCGACTGATGTGTGTATATTCAACCTGTTCTTTTATGTTCCCATAAAACTGAAGAGTGCCGACCACTTCTGGCATATTCTCCACACCCATAAAACAAAGAAACAAATGAGCAAGCAAATTTAAAACAAAATACATAAAAATGTTGCTGTTGTTGATGCTACTGATAAAAAAATAAAAAAATTTAAAAAATCCAAAAATACTTTTAATAAGTATTAACTCTGGGTTCCCCAGTCTGCTTGTATTTTTTTTTTTCAGATTTGTATTCATTATTTAAAGAAACAAAACAAGACGGAATAAAGGCTGCTTTTCTTTCTACTTCACAATTATGCTGCTACTCACATACAATCTTAATATAAAAACAAACATTTATATTTTATGAGGCAAAATGTGAAAAGTTGTAACGACCGTGAATACTTTATACGTTTGTGAAATCAAAATGCTTAATGAGTAGTTTGTCATTGGAGCTGTTCATTTAATATCTCTTTGAAAGGAACTTTTTCCAGTTATAACAATATGAAGGAATTCAGGCCAATAGTTGCAGCCTCATCTCCTCAGAGAGCATGTGCTGCACAAACACAATCATGGACGAGCGATCTGATCTTTGTCCCCACAGGACACAGCAGTGCTGTAAGCCTACACCTGACTTTAATGTGATAGGCTCTGCAACACGCCCTTCTCACTCATATTCAGTGTGGCAATAAGGCAGGAGTACGAATAGGATTTTTACATAAGAAAGGTAAATGAAGTTCATTATTGAGTGTGGATGTATTGATGCTGGGATTTTACAGTTAACAAAAATGTATATCTAACATTCCTACAGTGAATCTGTTATAACTGGAAACTGAAAGACAGGAAGGACTAAATGGAAGAAAGAGGAAAGCACACAAGGAAGAAAAGAGGGTTAACAAAATGAAATAAGGGGATAGAAAAGGACAAAAGGGAGGAAGTGTTAGGACACAAGGAAGGAAAGGAAGAAGGAAGGGCTTGAATGAGTAAAATGAGGAGGAGAAGGGAACAGAAGAACTAAGGCAAAGAGGAAAGGCAGTAAAGGAAGAAAAGAAAGAAGGTAGAGCTCAAGTAAGATGAAATAAAACATATGAAGGGAAGGATGGATACAAAAAAGGTGTAGGACAACAAAAGAAACATAAGATGAAAAGAAGATATTCTGAAGAAAGGAAAAGGAGTTGGGGCACAAGGCAGGTAGGCAAGGCACCAGGAAGGAAGTATATAAGGAAGGAAAAGGGAAGAATGTTTTTAAGGAAGAAAGGGAGGATGGAGAGATGCAAAGAGTGAAAACCAATTATTTTCTCATGCACCATTTCCCTTTTCCATATAGAGGCTCTTCTCTCTGCCCTCTCTCTGTCTGATTACTGTCAAATAAAAGCCAATAGTACCCAAAAAATTCCTTAAAGACAAAACAACAGAAAAAAAACAGAAATTAAATTCTATCTTTGGAGCCACCTCCTCTACACCATTTGAATTTTCTCATCAGAACATCATTCAGGTTCACAGAAAGTCTTAAGCATATTAATGGACGGAAATGAGGCCATTAATAGTGGAGAAACTACACTTCCCTTGCATTAATGTATTGACTTTTAGAACTAAAACTAATTATGCTTAAGCCAACACTGAATGCACATTCATAGCATCAGGGCGTAGGCTTTGGGGTTGTATTCAGAGTAAAAACTTGTTGTTGCTGCAGTTCAGTGGGTATCGAGCTGACGTTTTCACGGCACAATGATTGAGTAAAAATACCACAGCTTCATGGACTCATCATATTTACAAATTCAACTAGTACTAATCCAATTCATTTATTTTAAAACAAGAAGAAACACATATAACTTGTTCTGCTAAATTAGCATGATGCTACCATCTGCATGTTTTGTCTGTTTCAATAGCATCACTACCAGGGTATGGGGGTCTTTGCAGCCAAAAATATTGAGAGACACTTTTATTTTGTGTATGTATAGACATAGTGACCACTGTGTTGTGAGAAGTTTAGTAAACCAGGAGCCTTAAGTTTTTAAAAACTTGTATTCCTCATACAGGAAACCAAATGGTTGGGCATTATTTGTAATGACTGAAAACATTTTATTCACAGACACATTAAGACTGTCTGTAAATAAAAGGTTAGGAATACAAGTAACAGCTGAACTTTCACATAAACTTAAGATCATAATGGCAAGCATATAAGCCAAACAGCAAAATAAAAAAAAGAAGTCTTTGATTTATTGCCCTTCATTCGTTTAACTTATCATATTTCTCAATTTATAGTTTTGACGTGTTTATTTTTGTTGCCAAAATACTGCACTAATAGTGGAAAATAGAAATGGACTGGAAGTGATTCATGCTGTGAAATGACACGCTAATCTTCATTTGTAAATCCGTCCAAACAGAAAACGTTATGACACGACACACTACGGAAGACAGAACAATGACAAATCCGAGTCATGGAGTCACAGCAGGTAGTACACTAACAACAGATAATAACAAGCACCTGCTCAATCCCTATTAAGAGAGGGGTGTGGCTACATCAGGGGCACCAGATTCATTTTTGAGGTTAGGGGACAAATGGGGTGTTTCCTCACCTCTGTTTTGAATGTAGGGCGTGCACACTTGTTCAATTGATATGATGGCACCTGTCAATCAATTCATTGGGTTTGTCGCAATTTTGTCCCAAAGTAAACAGTAAACATCCCTTGCCTGAGGGCAATGTTTTTTGGGTCTGCCATGCGCTGCGATCTGGCTAAATTTGAAAACTGTTTGCTATTTAATGCGCTGCAGTCATAGAAAATTGGTGGGAAATAACAGTAATACAATGGATGTCAAATATCCTCCAGCGATGCCAATTTAGAGCAGCAGGACAACCTAATGGTGCCGGCGCATCTTCACGTTACGGTGCAGCAGCGCAATCTGGATGCTGTGGACCTAAAACCAAAAGGCAGCGCAGATATTTGCTGCAAGTTCCACAAATTGTGTGGGAAAGAGATGTCTGAGTGGGACAGACAACCAGCCAGACTGCTGACAATATTTTTGCATTGAAAGCAAAATGAAAAACACCATGGATTAACTTTAATGTGATTGTTAATTAGCAGACAAAAATTAATTTCAACAGCCAGCAGAGACCTGAAAACCATCAGTAGCCATTCATATGGATGGCTACTGATGGCTGATTGGCTTTTGGAAGAGAAAGGGGGGCCAAAGGGGTCCTCTTTTATTTTCTTTCAGGTAATTAAAACAGAACTTCTTTCCTGTAAACGAAAATTCACTCACACAAGCAATTAATTACACTTTGATTAATCTTTTGCTGCAATATATATTAAAAGAAAATAGTTACACCGGTCTAAGGAACAATTTCATTTCATTTCTCAGACGGTGATAAGTTTATCAATAAGCAAATTTAAAGGTTGTTATTTTTGGGGGTTTTTTTAAGTCAAGTCTCCAGAATAACAAACCTGCGTTTATCCATTAATCCACCTGTCACACATCGAGGGAAGAAGCACTGACGGAAACCAGCTGACAAAATGTCAGCAACAGGTGTTTGTCAGGAGCTCACAATGTCGCTCAACAGCAAAGACAAATGAACAACTAAAGAGGCTTGAGAAAAGCAGCTCGAGTTAAAGTCAAGCAAGAATAAAGAATAGCAACCGGTTGGGTGAGTTGGTTGGCAGATAATCCCATTCCCGTGACCGACCGGTGGGGAACCCGAGTTTGTTTATAAATTAGAGTTTAAATCAACGAGGGTTTGTGGGGGGCCCCACCGGGGGGCTCCCGGGAGCGCCGCGTCACAACTCAGACGGAATGTCTGCAAGTTAAAATTGTTTATGGGAGTTAAGAGTCGCCTCGGCATTAGAGCTCACCTTGGGACTCCGGAGGAGAGGTGTCGCTGCCGTCCTGCTCCGCCATTTCTCCTGACGTCAGCTGAGAGGGATCAGCAGCAGCAGGAACCAGAGGGACCTGATCCCTCCACAGGGCTGCGGCGACTGGGGCCCCTCCCACGGACAGGTATGGGCTCATCGTCCCAAATCTACCCTACCCCACCGAGAAAAAAAATGTGTTTCTTAGAAATAATAAAGACACA